GGACATCAGCGAAGGATGGTCAGCGCCGGCAACTCACACCCAGCAAGATGAGACCACCACATCGGGCTTCGGCAGCGGAGGCGGCAGCCTCTGGCGTGGCAGTACGACGTTGGTTGGGGAGCCCATCGCTGCTCAAGGCGCAGCTCGGCGGGTCAACGAAACAGATCAACAGAGGAGTCTGAGCCCGTGGAGAATCTGTTTCAGGGTCGTGTCCCTTTTGTTTGCTCTTGTGAGAACCATGCAACGTACTTGCTAGCTAGCAACTTCCGTGTCCTTTCCTTTTTCTCCTTTGCACTTGATCCATATTCGAGTCCAAGTAGTACTCCACCTGATGTCTTGAGGCACGTGGGATCAGTTTTTTAGGCTAAACGCCGTTGTTTTTTATGGGAAGAAGAAGCAGCGTGCTATGGAGCTCATAGTACACCCGGCGACACACGAATTCTTGTCCATCTTACTGGATCGCTTTGTTTAGTTAATCTCTTCTCTCCTGTTGGTCCTTTGTACAATGACGTGGTGCTCTACAACTCAAAGTAATACTTGCAGTAGCGACAAACATCATCGGGACTTGGCGCACAGGTGAAACATGCTGCAACCGAAAATCAAGGTCTTTGGTGACTTGCGATTTGACTGCGTCCCAGCGACGTGGTCCGTGCACTGATCGATCTCAAACACACCTTCGACTTGCAATACTGACGGGGCACCTGACGCGATCTTAATTTTCTTAAACTCAAACCTTCATATTTCCAAACACGGGCTTCTCAATCCCTAAAGAGATCCCTCCAAAGACTCATCACCACTGTGCGCGAGCCCCACGGTGGGCGCCAACTGTCGTGGAATTGTCACGGCAGATGTCCTAGTGTGAGGACTTAGTCGTGAGGCCAACGCATCTTCGTAGTAGGTTGAGAGGGGTTGAGCGGAATCGAGAGACGCAACATAAGACAAGGATTTAGACAGCTTTGGGCCCTGGGAAACATCATCCAGTAATAGCCCTACATGTTGTTTGTGGCTAGGTCTCATTATGCTCATGTGGGAGATGCCGTAAATCCAACTCTCTTCTCTTTGTGTCTAGCCTTAATGATTCTTTTCTTGTCCGTCCCCCTTTGGGGAGCCCTGCTCCTCCTTATATATGTTGAAGGGGCGGGTTACATGACTAGTCCTAGTAGGATTAGGATTAACCTATTACAAGTGGAGTCCTAGTCTTGCTTCCTTTGTAGGACAATATTCATTATGCCTTTCCTCTTAAACCGGCTCACCATAACATGAGCCGGCCTTCTGAGCCTTGGTCCTAGTCTTCTATCTAACCCGCCGTTAGGGCCATCTGTGAGTCGCCAGGCTTGTGAGTCGCCACTCCAGCGGGTGACAAATGGAAATGCCAAGCACGGCCAGGTCATACTTCCGGCCGGGTCATACCGCGGGGTATATCCCCGACGCCGGTCGTGAGGGTTTTTATAGCAGGCCGGTAAGCATTGGGATTTTGGAGGGATTTCACTGAGATGGGCGGGAAGCTTGCGCAGGAACCTGTGAGGTTGCGTGGGAACGGGATCACCGATGATTCATTGGCACCACCATTTGGCCAAAAAAACACCCCCGCGCGCTGCGCAAGCTTGGGCTATATGCCATCTGCGACAGCGGGGTGACAAGACGTGCGTGAGGAGGACGAGAGGACACGTACACATACAGTTAATAAAAAACATTTGCGATTTAATTACCTACTATACCCCCCTCCTGGTTTATAAGTAGGATTTATTAACTAATAAAATACGAATGCATGTCGCCATAGATTATATTGTTGGAGTCGTATTTGAACATAGTTTCCAGCTATACAATTTTTGTAACATGCATTAACACTTTTTGGTTAAATTTAAGGTTATACACCAGCAAGCGTTTGCCCGCAACACACATGACTTATTCCATCACAAACAACTCTGATGGATCAACTGTCTGCCACGTATCGCACACACAACTTTAATCTGATTCATGCTTGATGTCTCGGACATCGCTCGCACAGTTCGTCTTATTTGCCACGTATCACTGTGTCATCCTCTGCTCGTGTCCCTCGGCAAGCTCGGCTCGCCGTTAGGCGCCGCAGCGCGCTCGGTCGCGTCCGTCGGTGTGCTCTGCTCGCGTCCATCGGTGCGCTCGGCCTGTGGAGAGCTTTTCCTTGAGGCGACTGCGGAGCACTCTGCTGGCGTCCCTCCGCGAGTGCTCTGCCAGCAGTTGGGCGTGCGCACGATCACGTCAGGGGCCACATATGCATCTGGTTGCGCCGCGTGCGTTGCCACATGATGCAGTTACGTGCGGCGCGATGGAGTTACACGCTGCAAATTAGAACTTCCATCAGGGCCTGCCGATATTCCTGGCTGTCCGGCTTCCCCTTTAATTCCCGCGGACATTATAACCTTAGTCTCTTCAACCTTTCAATCGTGCCCCACAACACAACAAGCACACCCATGACGACACATAGAGAGGGGATGTCCAGTGGCGCTCCAATGGAGTTCGGCGAGCATAGAGTGGAGACCCACGCGAGGGAGATGGATCTCTCGATGGTGTACACCATCGACCCGGCCGTGGTGGACGACTACATCAACATCGTTGATCAGCTGCTTGCTAGAGACAAGTACAAGGTGGTTGGCATCGACCTCTAGTACACCACCGGTCGTCCCGGCATAGATCAGAAGGTTGCCGTCGCCCAGTTGTGCATGCACCATCATGTCCTCATCTACCACTATTGCATGGCCACGGAGCCTTAAGACTGTTTCAACAGGTTTGTCAACAGCACCGACTACAAGTTCGCCACGGTGGATACCAAAGACAATGTAAAAGCACTCAGTGTTACGGGCTTGGCCTGCAAGAACCTTGTCGAAATCCATGACCACTACAGGGTCTGGGCAGCACGAGGGAGGACTCCCTCGTTGAACTCGCCTCGGCCATCATCGACCCCTACTACGAAAAGATGAAGCAAGATGCCCAGAGAACAAGTCCCGTATCCTGGCACCAGGCCTGGATGCGGCAACTGGATGAACCTCACCTCAAGTTCGCGGCCAAGAGCGTGTACACATGCTACGAGATGCACAGGTGGATCGTTGACATGCGGAAGTGCCTCGTTACCCAAATTGATGAGCCTGGATCGAGCCACAAGAAGAGCAAGCATCACAAGAAGTAGATGATGATCAGATGATCGTTTATGCTAGTTAATCATGTATGTAATATATAGTTTAATTTATTAGTGTGTATGGAAATGTCATGTGTGTAGTAGCCACCTATGTAATTATGCATGTAACAGTTTACTTTAGTGTGTGCAAATGACATAGTTGTAGTAGCCACCTATGTAAGTGGATGTTTAATTTGGTTATGCAAGCATGTCCTTA